ACTTAGTGACTTAAAGGCCAAAAGTCCAAAACCAGCTGGGTTGGTTCTTTCTGGAGGTTCTGAGGAAAATTCCATCCCATGCCTCTTCCCTAGCTTCTTGGTGTGCCTTGGCTTATAAAAGCATCACTTTCACCTCTGTCTCATTTTCACACAGCCTTCTCCTCTATGTGTCAAATTTTCCTCTTCTTTGTCTTATATGGGGCCAGTCATTGGATTTAGGATCCACCCTAAAGTAGGGTGTTCTTGTCTCAAGATCTTTATCTTAACTATATCTGCAATGATCCTTATTCCAAAGAAGGTCACATTCTGAGGCTCTGGGTAGACATACCTCTCAGGGGCCACAATTCAACTCATTACAGTGAGTGAAGTATCCTCTGAAACACACAAATTATACCCCCTAACTTAACTGAAATATTAAAGGGTAATTCTCACTAGATCAGCTACCCAAGTGTCACGTCCCCCATAGAGACACAGCACCTGGTCCAAGTATTCTCAACACCTGCTAAGTGCCAGGCTGTGAGCCAGGTGCCATGGAGTGGATGAGAAAAATCCAGCCTCTGCCCTGAAGACATTTGCAAACCACAGGGAGGAAAGGCTGCCATAGAGCAGTGGTTCTTCAGCTTTGCCCCGAGGAACTTTGGCAACTTTGCCCCGAAGACATTTTTTATTGTCATGATGGGGGTGGGAAGGAAAAGGTACTACTGGCATTTAGTGAGTAAATGCCAGGGTTGTTGCTAAACATCCTGCAATACAAACATTCAACAACCCTATAGTCCCCCATGGCAATGATTATCCGAACCAAAATGCCATCGGGGCCCCTGTTGAGAAAATTTGGTATAGAGAAAAATGGAATCTTATTGGGACTTCAATGAAAGGTTATAAAACTTATACATCCCTTGAGTTGGTGATTTTCTGGAAACCTGAATTCTCAGAATTCAAGTTGATTCACCATCTATAGACTTATCTAAAATAGCTCTAGAAGTCACCTAATCCAACTCCCTCGTTTCATGGGTAGAAAAGTAGGGCCCTAGAGGGGGGCAGAAATGATTATAACAGCAACCAGGACAATTTCATGAACACCTATTGTCTCTCAGTGTCAGACAATGTAGTTGTGTTTTTGAAATCTGGCAATCACAACCACCCGATGAGGTAGATACTCTATTATCCCTGCTTTATATAGAGAGCTAGTAGGCTCAGGGACTGAAGTGACCTCATCAAGGTCCCACAGTTTATATGTGGCAAACTGGATTCAAACAGTGTTTTCTCTGGTGCAAAGACCTGGATCTTTTTGTCACATTCAGCTGCTGTAAGTCAGTTTAATGACTTGCTGGAACTGTGAATGAGTAGGCTTAATTTTTCCCATTACAGAGTTCCTTCCCCTGTCCTGCCCTGCCTTTCCCCTTCTGTTTATAGTTGCTCCTTGCTTCCTGCCTGATCACAGTTAGAAAGAGGAGGGAGGGAGGGGAGGAGACAGAAGACACAGTTCTTACCCTTGCTTAGGGAAGAGAACTGCTTCTCTTTTAGTCACCACCTAGAAATGCATCTCTGCCTGCCCATTCCCTCTCCCAAGGACCCATCCTTCTTCCCAAGTAAATAAATAAATTAATCGCTCTTTGAGGTTTTGTGAATCATTGCTAGATAAATAGATAAATGAATGGATGGATGACTGGACAGACGGACATCTTTGTAGATTGGCCAACTTTTTTCTTGGCAAGTACAGATACTAACAAAACCAATATTCCATCATAGATATTTCATAAAATAACGAATGTTCCAATGCCAAAAAAAGAAGGAAGGACCTAATCTTAGAATTAAAATAATCCTCTGAATTGAATAAATGTAACATTAGGAAAAACTTACAATGGGATTCTTCTTGCTCACACTGTGCAGTGGATCAGTATTAAAGAATCATGAATCTAAGTCATTCCATTTTCAATGAGAGTTTACTACAAGATGAAGTTCCAAAGTGAAAAACTCAATATTCTTGTAGTTGAAGGACCCCTGTAGATTCATGTAGTTGAAGGAGTCATCCAGACCAGGTGTGGCGTATTGCGAGATGCTTGGAGGTCAAAGACCTTGGCCTGAAACCTAACACAGTCATACATGAAGTTGGGAGACAGAGAGGGGGGATGTAGTTGACCAAGCTCCTAAATCTCACTGGGCTTCAGTTTCTACCCTTTCAAAATGAGACTAATGACCACCCCACAGAGCCAGAAAAGAAGGTGCTAGGTGCTTCTAGCAGGCCCAGTTGTCCCGTTTCCCTCTCAGAATCTGGTAGCCCATTGCCCTGGCAGTGATCCCTACCTCCAGCTGTCATCTGGGAGTGAGGCCCCTCACTCCCAGATGACAGCTCACAGGAGCAGGCTTTTCCCTGCCTAGTCCCAGCTTTCTTTTCTGGCACCACTAAGAATCACTGCATTTCAGTTCCTTTATCACAACTTTCCAACATCAGGAAACAGCAATCATACCAGCCCTGGGTCTTCATCACAAAGGCTATCCAGAAAAAAAAAAATCCTGCTGAAGATAATCAAACGTCCTCATATGTAACTGGGTTGCAATAACCAACACAAGATTTCATAACACACATTATGATCCCTTTCCTACCCCCAAGTCCATAGGGAAAAAGATCCCCTTTTAAATGACTACTTAACTTATGCAAATATACCACAGGATCCAAAAGGAAGCAAACACCAGGTGCCTATGGTTACAAAAGAACATCATCAAATCCCCTCTCTCTACATGAGTGTATATGAATGTGAATATCTAAATTCTAAAGGCACTGGTAATTTTATAGTTCCTATTTCCACTTGTCAAAGGGAAGGGTTCTGTACTTGCTTGTTCTGGAGAGTGGAATCATCATGCTTTGGGGAGGGTGGGAATACTAGTCCAGGGGTTTCAGACCTGAGCAGCAAAGAGTGGAGTGGACAAGGTTGGAGGGATTAAGCTGAAATTAACATTGTAGAAAGGACTGATGAGAACACATTCAATAAAGGACCCTTCTCTATGCCGAAGTGTTTTGGTTAAGAGGAAGAGGCAGGTCGCTGAGCATCGGGCCTTGGGAGCCACCAGTTTCAGACACCATCTCTTTTACTCTGGGCCAGTAATAAGATTTCCAAAAATATACCCACCTTCTCCACATTTGGGTCTGACTCTAGCCCTCTAACAGGCACGCTATTTGGAGTGGGGAGGAAGATTTCATTGTGACTTGAATGAATAGCTCACTTTCCCCAGTAAACTTTTTGCTGTTGAAAGAAATCTCTCACATCCCACTCACAAAGAGAAATTTGTAAAAGCTGATGTGAGTAGGGCCTGAGGTAGCCTAGAAACATAAAAGAAGTCAGAGGAAGAAGCCCAGGATACTCGTAAAAGGAAGAGCATAGAAACCAAGGGCCAGAGGCAGGAAGGAAGACAAGTACAAGCTTGGGAGAGTGCTGCTTGAGAAAAATTATCCCAGGCAGACCGGGGTCACTCAGAAAAGTGAGACATCTTGTGAACTCAGGATACAGGAGGAGAGAGCAGGTATCTTGGTCCTGGAGAGCAACAACCTCCTGAGCTTACTTCAGGGGAGTCACCAGGCTTCTACTAGAAGAACCTGGCTTGTATATGTGTGGCGGGTCCTGCGTTTGTCCTTAGTGACCAGTAAAAGGGAGAGGAGGACAAAGAATGGAGGGAGACAAGGAGGAGAGAACGGAGGGAGACAAGGAGGGGGACCTTACTCATTTGATTAAAGATACACAGAATCTCTTGAGTACAGGCACTTTGGGCATCAACTCAAAGAAGAATCAGGTCAGTAACTTGGTGAAAACCTCTGGGCAGGGGATCTGGGCTCTCTGGACCTCCCCTTCCTCTCAAACAAATCCTATCCTCAGGAAAGTCTCTAATATCAGTCATCTACATGGTATTACTTAATTGTAATAGACAGGCATTTGCACTTGAACCCACACTTCCCATTATGAAATAATAGATTTTAATCTCACATTAAAGGAATATGAGAAAGCACTGTTCTGGTGGAAAAGCATTTGGCAGAGCAGCAGTGCTTCTTCGCAGCTCTGAAATTGCTCCACATAGGTGACCATCCATCTCCCCTGAGTGGGGGCCAGGAGATAAGGGAACCCCCACGACTGAGAGGTGTGAAGATGGGCTCTAAATGAGACATTGGAATCGGCTGTTGAGTGAGACTCCACACCTTTGCAAGCTTACAAATGGGAAGGGAGAAGTCTGCCTTGATGTGATTAACATGGAAGGTGGGGGAAGGTGGCATCTAGGTCTTAGAAAGTCATACTGTGTGCCTGAGACATCACTGTCCTGTGCTGACAGATCAAGTGCAATCCCAGGCTGCACTCAGCGGTGCTCTCCAGCCTATACACAGCCTGGAGAGAAAAGACTGGGTTCAGATCTGAGCTCTGACTGTTCCTTATCCTGTCATCTTTAACAAGTAGCTTCACCTCTTTGAGCCTTCGTTATCTCATCGGTAGAACAGGACTAATGCGTAATTCACAGGGTTATTGTGAAGCTTCAATGTGATGAACAAAGTGTTTGGTGCAGTGCCTGGTACAGCATGCATATACAAGCATTTATGTGTAAAGACTCACTATTCTAACAGGCAAATGATGCCACTGAGGGAGAGCTAGCTATATGCTAAGCATTGTTCCAAAGCATTCCATGTCTTAACTCATTTTACCCTTTTGAAAATCCTGTGAGAGAAGTAGTATTATTATTATCCTCATTGTATAGATAAGGAAACTGAGGCACAGAAAGGTTAAGTAATTCTCTCAAGATCACACAGAAAGTGATGAGTCTGAAAATGAAATGCCACTCAATATACTGTCGCTTTTATATGTCATTTCATTTGTAAAATGGTATCACTGTTTCCTGTTTCAAATATTTAAAGTACTTGATTAAAGTGATATTATATTTATCTTTCAGAAGATAATAATACCATGCCAGTTTGGGTGGTTTCTTATTTATGTGAATTTCATTTGATTTCCATTTGGCTTTAGCACAAAGGCCCTGTTTACCCTCCACTGAGAGTTGGGTTGGAGATGGATGCTGAGTATAGACACAGTGCAGGAGGATTCTTTTGTCTTCACTCTTGTTTCTAACTGTTGCTGGTACTAGGTGCCCGGTCCTGAGCAGCCATGACGACGGAGGTTCTCCCCAGTGCTCTGGAGGTCGACGAGAAGTCTCCAGAAGCCAAGGACCTACTGCCCAGCCAGACTGCCAGTTCCCTGTGCATCAGTTCCAGAAGTGAGTCTATCTGGACCACCACCCCCAGGAGTAACTGGGAAATCTACCGCAAGCCCGTCGTCATCATGTCCGTGGGAGGTGCCATCCTGCTCTTCGGCGTGATAATCACCTGCTTGGCCTACACCTTGAAACTGGGTGACAAGAGCCTTACTGCCCTCAAGATGATAGGCCCTGCCTTCCTGTCCCTAGGACTCATGATGCTGGTGTGTGGGCTGGTGTGGGTGCCCATCATCAAAAAGAAACAGAAGCAGAGACAGAAGTCAAGTTTCTTCCAGAACTTCAAGTCATTCTTCCTGAATCGCTGATGGTGATTTCTGTGGTTACTGTGTCACCTTGACCAGAAGGAGATCTGATGACCCACATCCAACATCCCCACCTCCTCCGTGGGGTGGCATGAAACTGATCCAGGCAAACTCTCTTCCAGGCCATATGGGAAAATTAGAATTCAGGGCTCCACCCTCTATCCAGTCAGGGAATGTTGCTGGATGTATCTCACTTGGTCTTTCTTTTATGACATGCTTCCCATAGATCCTGGCCATAATCTTTCTTTCTGTCATTTTTATCCCCTGCTCCTGCAACCAGGCATCATTCATTTAACTCTCTCTGCCAAGTGCAATGCATGCTGGGAAATTCCTTGGGGGTGGGCTATGCCCCAGGGAGAGCCTCATGTTTACATATCTGAGTGCCTGAACTGGATTTCTCATCTACATCCTTCTGGAACCAAAATGGACTAACAGAGGTCCTTTGCAAAAAAGGAAGAGAAGACAGAGTTCTGACCCACTGGGTCTGACAGTCCCAACTCCTTTAGTGGGTGAGACACTGACTTGCATTTCAAGAGGTCACAAATATCAAACATTCCAAAGACTGAACAGTGAAGGGAAGCCAGGGAAATAACACTCTCCAAGATGGCACATCTCCCTGGACATGACTGTAGGAGTTAGTCAGCCAGGAAAGTTTAATTTCCAATTATATAGTATTTACAACAGAGGCAATAGGGTAGGCTAGAAGATGTCACAGTCTCCCCTTGACCTTCTAACACTTTCTCATTGCTCATTGACTACTTTTTTCTCTGAACTTGGCCATTAACCAATGACAAATGCATGTTTCCCTAACTTCTTTCCTCCTACCCCTGCCTCTACTCCTGAGTCTAGAACAAGATGGTAGAGTACAGAGAAATTTTGTAAGATTGCTTTCCCCTTCATCAAGGTCAAAACTAGAGGACCAAATTTCATATCTGAATGACCTATAGGTTTCTAGAGAGAAAATTAGCTTTAAAAAAATCTCAACTTCTGCTATCTCTGCTCCACCCCTACCCCCACTCCCCACCAGTACCAAAGGAGCACATACTTATTAAGTGTGCTCTGGGCCAGGCCCTGGGTTGTAAACAAAGTGCAGTCCTACTCTCATCTTGCTTTCCAAATTGAGAGAAACAGCCAAGTCAGCAGGTGATTAGACTATTCTGTGCTGAGTTCTTGACGGGAGAAATATAGATGGTGGTGGGAACACAGGAGGTGTCTACCCCAGACTTGGAGAGGACGGAAAGATCCCTGGAGGCCATGTCATCCAAGCTAAGAACAAAAGAGAAGAGATGAGTTAGCAAAGAGGGAAAAGGGAAAGCATTGGAGGCAGCAGGGACTGCCATGTGTGTGCAGAAGCTTGGGGAAAAGAGAGCTTGATAGAATTAGGAAAGTGCACAATCACTTCCCTCACCTCCCAGATGTTGTTTTCATCCACTCTCTTGGCCTGCTTCCCACCTGCATCCCCAAGTGCCTGGTGCAACTTCTCCTGGGGCCCACTGAGGACCTCCTGGGGTCCTATGGTAGAGACTTAAAGTGGGTTTCCAGAGGGTCCACCAAGCAGGTAAGTGCTCCCAGAACTTCTGGTAGCAATCAAAAGACCCTTAGGTGAAAGACTAGGAGCGGTACTTGTGAGATGGCCAGTCATACTGCCATAGGCCAACCAGAAGTCTAGTGGAGAGTATTTGGTAATAAGGTATGATAGGAGAGCAGTCTATGCCAGAATTAGCCTTAACTTAGCTAACTCCTTTTACTCTTCAGTCTTTCAGCTTCCCCGGTCACCATGGCAACCTCTCTTTCTAATAGGCACCGACGTATCTCCATCCTCCACATTGGCTCCATATACAGTGTCAGAATCCATTCTGTCCCCTCTACATTGTGGGAAATTCCATGGAGGCAAGTATCTGTGTCATGGGGACACCCCTTGCCTCATCCACCTAAGGGGTCAGAATTTAGAGAGCCTTTTGAGGCTCCTCCAGGATGGCCATGTCCTTCATTCAGACCCATGTCAGTGTGGCTGGGTCCTCTGGCCCACCAACTTCCCATATATAGGTGGTCAGGACCAATCTTGAGGGTGTTGCAAGTGTTGTGACACTAATTATAGTTCTCGTGCCTCAGTGACAGAGCTTATCATTTCCCTCTCTTCTGACATGAACATAAATTGAAGATTGACCCTGTAATATCACTCTTACATTGCTTGATGCTTTTATAAATGGGAGCAAACAGGATGGGCTCCCAGCTAGCTCACTGGGAATCCATACTCGCCGAGCCTCATTTCCTCTGCTTGAGAGCTTATAGTCTGAGCACAATCTCAGAGGAGGGTTCATGTGAGTGCAGCTACCAAGGATGTCTTAGTGTAAGGAAGTTTGGGGACAACCATAACTCTAGAAAATGTCCAAGTTCTGGACTCATTTTGTAGACTCCAGAAGCGTCGGCCCCCCTCAAACTAGTTTCTAAGAAGAGAAAAATGTGGGAAGGGCAAGGAGGAAAGACGCTCAAGTGTCATTTATCCCCACAGGGATCCCCCACATGAGTGTGGGCTGGAAACATTTCAGGGTCACACTGAAGCAGGACATTTGGAGGTTTTTGCCAAAGCCCATTGCCCCACGGAAGCCTGAGTTATGCTCCTGAGTTATGATCTGCAAACACAGCCCAGGTCAGACACCGTTTTACTGCTGCAAAACAACACCTGCAATGACTCTTTTTATGCCTGCAGATTGGAGGACGGGACCAGCATCCACATTTTAGGCTCACTAGATTGCACTGGGCACCCCATAGCTATTCTGTTTGGGAGAGTTTGATCTAATCTGAAGCCTAAAGGAATCAGTGTAATGTTGAATTGTATTCTACTTAATAGTGTCTACTGTGTTGTCATTCTGTTCTATCATGAATTCCAAGACTATGTCCACTAATTTATTCTGCTAAAATGCACCCCACTCCCACATTGCCACACATCCTCCCCAGAGTACTGCCTGGTAGAAAAGGTGGGGGGGGTGGGTTTTGTGCATGTTTCCCTAGATACTTCATATGGGCTGATAACCCTACTCTGACATGCTGCTGGATCAGAAAGACAAGAAACTCCTGACTCTCTCCATCCCCACAAGCCAAATATTGAAACAAAAAAAAATAAATGGAAAAAGAAGCTTCCAGAATGAATCACTGGTCCAGGGCAAGCCAAGCAGCTGTTCCAGGTGAGCCCATGAACTAACAAGAGAGAGCACGAGAAGCGGTATAGCTCAGCTCCCCAAGACCTCCTTGGCCTCCTCCTTCTTCTATGCCCCTTCTTCTCTTCTCCTTGGCCAGCCTCCTCTGCCTCTCAAGCTCTTTCATCCTGGGTCTCTTGTACTTGGCTCCCCACCAAGCTCACCATGGCCTTGGCTTTCTACTTGCCCTCATTTGCTCAGTCCTTAAAGAAAAAAAAAGGGAAGAAGGTGCTGGGTCTAGGTCAAGCAAGGGGCATTTTATTCCTCCCTCTCTTCCTTCAATATTGCCAGTCACATCGCCCCTCCCTTCCTGGCTCCATACCCATCACTCCATCACCATCTCCAGTGCTCCAAACTCAGAGGGATGGGCTCCCAGCTAGCTCACTGGGAAAACCAAAATCCAGAGCCCTAAATGTGTCTGATGTTAAATGTAGGTTAAAAAACTCCCTGGGGGTGTACATGGGGATGCTGCTGGGCAACACCAACCAGGTGCCATGGGGGCTTTAGGGTGACAGGAAAGGATGGGGGAGGCTGTGAGAAGGGAGCAGGAGGAGAGATGATAAGAGGCAGCTGGCAAGGAGGCACTCTGGAGTGTCCTCTGAAGAGCAGAGGAAGAACCCAGGCTGAAATTGATAACCACTTCTTGAGTGCTCACCACATGCCACCCAAGTACTTCATGCACTCACTCATTCAAGTTTTTAAAAAAATCCTGTTGTTAGTTACTATTGTTACCACCATCCCCATTTTGCAGGTGAGATAAGTAAGGCACAGGGACACCAATCTAGGGCAGCACAGAAATCCAGCTGGTCTGGCTCCAGAGGCCATGCCTGTATCTCCCACCTCATACGACTCTCCATATACCTCTGAGGAGCAGCAGAGGCACCAGGGCTACCATGGTGGGCTCTGGACTAGCAGGCGGGGGAAGTAGAAAGGGAGCTGGAGTCACTAGATAGGCAGAAAGTGTGGCATAACAAGCATGGACCGAGAGCACCAACCAGGAAAGGGGGCAAATTTCCTGTCCAGGAGTCAAAAGGGAGGACAAAAGGAGCCACTAGGCAAAAAGAAGCTTGCATTCTGGGCACCTCCTCTATGGCAGGCTCTGTGCTGGAGCATGCATACAGTTTAGTTTGTTCTTTTCCTTCCCTGCATCTAATCCTTTGTAGTACATACAAAGGATTAGATGCAGGGAAGGAAAAGAACAAACTTTTACAGAAAAGTACTTGGGGTTCAGAAAAGTAAGTTATATGCCCAGGTTCACAGCCTCTAAGCAACATATCAGAGATTTAAACCCACAACTGTCTCCAGAACTCATATATTCTCATGCCCTGAGCTCCTGGACACGGGTGGCCGACTCCATGCCATGGGCATGGTGAGATGCAGGAATGGGGCCTCTCTGGCCACCACACTGTCAGAGCAGAGTGGCCTTGGTACATTCAGCCTTTGTTCCATGGGCCAGGCTCACCTGACCAGCAGGAGGGTTAGGAATTGGCTGACACAGGCTATTACGACTTCATTTCACATCACATCATAGACTGAGTTTATAACCCCCTCAAAAGTCCAAGATTGCCTCCCGTAGGGAGTGCTCAGGGGCAGTAGAGACCCAGTACCACTTCTCTAGAGTAGAGCTGCAGAACTTCAGTGCCTCCTGCAAGCAAAGGTGCTTAGGGGCCACTTGCCAGCTTCCCTCATTCTCAAAAGTACCTCCCTCTCTCATTTCAGACTACAGAGGAGTCACCAAAGGGCCTTGGGCCTGGTCCCTCTTTAACTCTGCTACACTAAGCCCTGGAAAGAAGCTCCCAACACAAA